AGAATCATTCTGACACTTGAGACTCACTGAGGAGCTACAAGGATGTACACATTTCATTTACACTGACATACTCTCTTAGCACATAAAAATTGGAAACATACTATAACATAAAACATCTTATGCCATCAATAGTATTGATAGGGTTTGTTAAATTGATCACAGAGCACTTTGTTTTATGAACATGGGACAATTAGTTTGGAAGCATAGATATACCACAACAAAGTGAAAGTCAATTCTTATAATTTTTCACTATTTTTTACCTCAAATGATATAGACCTAGATCTAAACACAATAATATTTAGTATGTGTGACTTCATGTTTACACTGACAGCCATTCAACAACTAGCTGCATCGCAGAATAAAATAGTTCCTCAAAATGAGAGGCGACATGAACGTATGTGACTTGCTCAACATGCTCTACAGGAACAACTTTTGTAGTTTCTTTACAACAAATGTATTCAAATAATATCCTGATTAGATGAGAAAGGTCTGTTAAGAACTACCTCAGTAAGTCACAATGACAGCGCGTCGTAATACACTTACATCAAAATGAACGACAAGATAAACGTGACGAGGGACATTTCCGAGTTGTTAATGAACCAGTAGTGGTTACATGTTTTAGTCATCAATGAAAGGCGATTGTAAAGATGCGTCAAATAGATACTAAGGTACATTCATATATTAGTGTAGACTGTCACGGATCGAATGGATACTACAATAGGTTGGAGGTGCTTTTCTTTGTTTTGTTCTCTAGGATGGGTCGTAGCAAGGATATCCCTGAACAGGTATTCAGTCAAACTCTCTAACTTATCCCAATGTAGGCTAAAAAGCTAACTTCAAGATTAAAGTGTCTAAATGATGAGAAACACGGCTTCTGTATTTATTCATGCTAGGGAATTCCCAGGTGTTTCCAGAGGAATGTGGAAGTAGTCCGTCATTTAAATAATACAGTCTCGTGACAAAAGTATGAATGTTAAAATGTGTCGCTCATACACTTATGAACTTCAGTTTAGCGGTCATGTGACCAACCAATGGAAGAGACATATTTTGTGTAAACTTCACATTAAAAACTTATTGGGTATTATAATTATTGTATCATTATCAAATTATAAACAAATTATATATTATATTATTATACCCTGATACCCATGAGTAAGTGACACAGTCAAGTCAACCTATACCTGTAAAGTGTCAGATACACACACACACCTGTAAAGTGTCAGATACACACACACCTGTAAAGTGCCAGATACACACACACACCTGTAAAGTGTCAGATAGACACACACACCTGTACAGTGTCAGATACACACACACCTGTAAAGTGTCAGATACACACACACCTGTAAAGTGTCAGATACACACACACCTGTAAAGTGCCAGATACACACACACATGTACAGTGCCAGATACACACACACACCTGTACAGTGCCAGACACACACACACCTGTAAAGTGCCAGATACACACACACACACCTGTAAAGTGCCAGATACACACACACATGTACATTGCCAGACACACACACACCTGTAAAGTGCCAGATACACACACACACCTGTAAAGTGCCAGATACACACACACACCTGTAAAGTGCAAAATACACACACACACCTGTAAAGTGCCAGATACACACACACACCTGTACAGTGCCAGACACACACACCTGTAAAGTGCCAGATACACACACACACCTGTACAGTGCCAGATACACACACACACCTGTAAAGCGCCAGATACACACGAACACCTGTAAAGTGTCAGATACACACACACACCTGTAAAGTGCCAGATACACACACACCTGTACAGTGCCAGATACACACACACACCTGTACAGTGCCAGATACACACACACACCTGTAAAGTGCCAGATACACACACACACCTGTACAGTGCCAGATACACACACACACCTGTACAGTGCCAGACACACACACCTGTAAAGTGCCAGATACACACACACACACCTGTACAGTGCCAGATACACACACACACCTGTAAAGTGCCAGATACACACACACACCTGTAAAGTGTCAGATACACACACACACCTGTAAAGTGTCAGATACACACACACACCTGTAAAGTGTCAGATACACACACACCTGTACATTGCCAGATACACACACACACACATGTACAGTGCCAGATACACACACACACCTGTAAAGTGCCAGATACACACACACACATGTATAGTGCCAGATACACACACACCTGTACAGTGCCAGATACACACACACACACACCTGTAAAGTGTCAGATACACACACACACACCTGTACAGTGCCAGATACACACACACACCTGTAAAGTGTCAGACACACACACACATGTACAGTGTCAGATACACACACACCTGTACAGTGCCAGATACACACACACATGTACATTGCCAGATACACACACACACATTTACAGTGCCAGATACACACAAACCTGTAAAGTGCCAGATACACACACACCTGTAAAGTGTCAGATACACACACACACCTGTACAGTGTCAGATACACACACACACACCTGTAAAGTGTCAGATACACACACACACCTGTAAAGTGTCAGATACACACACACCTGTACATTGCCAGATACACACACACACATGTACAGTGCCAGATACACACAAACCTGTACAGTGCCAGATACACACACACATGTACAGTGCCAGATACACACACACCTGTACAGTGCCAGATACACACACACACACCTGTAAAGTGTCAGATACACACACACATACCTGTACAGTGCCAGATACACACACACACCTGTAAAGTGTCAGACACACACACATGTACAGTGTCAGATACACACACACACCTGTACAGTGCCAGATACACACACACATGTACATTGCCAGATACACACACACACATGTACAGTGCCAGATACACACAAACCTGTACAGTGCCAGATACACACACACACCTGTACAGTGCCAGATACACACACACACCTGTACAGTGCCAGATACACACACACACATGTACAGTGTCAGATACACACACACACCTGTACAGTGCCAGATACACACACACACCTGTACAGTGCCAGATACACACACACACCTGTAATGTGTCAGATACACACACACACCTGTACAGTGCCAGATACACACACACACACACCTGTACAGTGCCAGATACACACACACATGTACAGTGTCAGATACACACACACACACCTGTAAAGTGTCAGATACACACACACACCTGTACAGTGCCAGATACACACACACACCTGTACAGTGCCAGATACACACACACCTGTACAGTGCCAGATACACACACACACACCTGTAAAGTGTCAGATACACACACACATACCTGTACAGTGCCAGATACACACACACACCTGTAAAGTGTCAGACACACACACATGTACAGTGTCAGATACACACACACACCTGTACAGTGCCAGATACACACACACATGTACATTGCCAGATACACACACACACATGTACAGTGCCAGATACACACAAACCTGTAAAGTGTCAGATACACACACACACCTGTAAAGTGTCAGATACACACACACACATGTACAGTGTCAGATACACACACACACCTGTAAAGTGTCAGATACACACACACACACCTGTAAAGTGTCAGATACACACACACATGTACATTGCCAGATACACACACACACATGTACAGTGCCAGATACACACACACACCTGTAAAGTGCCAGATACACACACACACCTGTACAGTGCCAGATACACACACACACCTGTACAGTGCCAGATACACACACACACCTGTACAGTGTCAGATACACACACACACCTGTACAGTGCCAGATACACACACACAAACCTTACAGTGACAGATACACACACAGATCAAGGAATTTATCTTGACCTGTTCAGAGGCTGACATTCGGCTCCAAGTCTGCAGCAAGTGACAGTAAAAATCCCAAATTGAATTACAGTTTCCCTAATTCCTCAGATTTGATGAAAATAAGAACGATAAAATAAAATCCACTTTTGAAACATATCACTATATTTTCCCAATTTGCCTGCCCAGGGCACTTAGTTTTGAATTCTAGATAAATCGCTGCTGATACACCAGACACAGACACAGACAGACATGAACACTGACAGATACACACATCTGTAAACTGACAAAATAATCACACATGTGTTGATTACTGTGATCAGCTTACCCAGGTACAATTGCTCTATTATTTGATGAGTATTGGTCTCTAGAAGGAACACTTTAGTAACAAATATAAAAGATATTAGTATGAAATAGCCGCTCATAGTTTCGCATTTCTCTCTATAGCTAATGCAAAAAACAACCTACTAAGTATAATGTAGGCATTGTCAGGAATTATATCTGTTCCAATTTAATTATGAATTCACGATACCTTAACATGCCTAATTAGTTGTGAAATAGTTATGAAACACTTCTGCGCCAACAATGTCTACAAGTGCATGGATGAGAAAGAGAAACTATCTAGGCAAATGTGATGATCAGTCTTACAATACACCTTACATGAGAACTTTGAAAACAAACTCAAAACCTAGATCTACTACTCCTGTACATGCTCAATGCAGAGTGACACTGACCATGACGACTTCTATATGATAACATGCTAACCACATACTGACTGTGCACACAATACAAATTTCTCGCTTCTTATCATCACATTAACAAATAAAAAAGACAATGTTCAGATAGCTGATCATTATCCAATAAAGGCCAACGACATCCTCAAATGGCAATACATCAATATTTTTACTACACAAAAAATACTTTCGCGATAATAAAAAAGTGTCCTGGTAAAAGGTATGCCAAAATGTTCCAATGGCAAACTCCCCAGTGATCAAGATTGGCTTTAAAAAGTAAAACGAAACATTTTTTTAAAGACATCTTACACAATGGCAACGCAGTGTTTAAGATATATCACGCGAACATAAAACGTCCTAGCGTTCACCTAGACACATGCTAGACGTAGGTATCTATCTCACAATATATTTTACCTCTGATGACTGGGCACACACGTCGATACAGTACTGTCGTAGGCGGAAGCATGGATCTGGTTGCTCTGTAAACTTAACTACGGATTGTCGCAAAAATGTTGGATCTCAAATTCTATGTAAATATTTATACAAAGACATTCACAGTAATTAAAAGTCAAATATAATACCATGGTGATTAATATAAGTGTGTATTTAATAAGATACCTGTTTGGAAGTCTGGGGTTGGGTGTTTATGTTTACGACTACCAAAACTTGCCATACTTCTGGTCAAGAGGAAGAGGGTTGTTCATCATTCAGACAATTTACTGTTACTAATACTTCATATGGATTATATTACTATTCGTGTTGACTCATGAACGATCTGTGTTTAAATGGCGATGCCACGACCTGAGGCAGGAAAAGCTGGAACGACTCACGTCAGTTTCGTCTGTCAGCGTTGCCGCCAGCCCTTAAAATTAGATTCATCATTTCAGTCATTGGATCAGAAAGTCCTGACGGAGTTAACAGGTGGAATATCTGTCTCAACTAACACAAAGTGGGATAACAGCTCAGATAAAGGGCTGTTCGAACTCATAGTCATTTGCTCCCGCTCGTCTTTGTAAAGACGTTGTATATTCTAACTTTTTTTCTATCCATGTAATTGTAGATGATGATGACAGTTGCTAGTGTGAGGCCTGTAAAGCTGTGAGATGTACACTTACAGTAGGCAGGTTACCTGTCAATAAGTGTCATCCATATTTGTTTGATGCTTCTGATAGTAGAATAGCATTCATCATATGAACCTACCTTTAGAATTCAGTACCACAAACTGTTACATATGTTAAAATAAAACTAAATTTAAGTAGCCTAGTAGAACATGGTAGAAACGGGTTACAGCTAAAACGGCACCTGGCGAAAAACGGCACCGACTGGCAAAAAATGTCACCTCGCCTCAAGCGAAAACGGCTACTATTTTTTTTTACCTTGGTGAAATTAAACTTACATGGTCGCTTGCAAACCCTAATAATAGTGAAATGTTAAAACAAGTTTCCATTAGAAATTTGTCTCTACTCCAACTATGTTCCAACTTAGCCTATACGCAACTCAACTTATTGTTAAAACATAACATGCCTTGAAGTAAAATAAATGAAATTAAACTCACATCGTCTCTTACAAACACTAATAATAGTAAAATGTTAAAACAAGTTTACATTAGAAATAAGCCCCCTACTCCAATTTACTTGCCGACTCTGATTGGGATGCGCAACTAACTTATTGTGAAAACATTATATGCTTTGCAGTAAAATAAATGAAATTAAACTCACATCGTCTCTTACAAACACCAATAAGTGTGAAAAGTTAAAACAAGTTTACATTAGAAATAAGCCCCCTGAGTCAGCTACTATCAATATGCTCGGGGGTACATTGGCCGATATTGTAAACTGTGATGAAGATGAAAACTGTGAAGAACTGTATATATATGTGATTGTATGTAGTTATCTGTGAACAACTGGAAAAGAGGAAATAACATGTAAATACATCAAATAATATGTAACAAATAACATAAATCAGATATACTACTACATAAATCGTTATTATCGTTATTATCCCCCGTCACGAAGTGGAAGGGGCATATAGGAATGGGTGCCGTCCGTCCTTCCGTCCGTCCGTCACATTTCGTTTCCGGAGCAGATCTTGAAAACCGTACCATATTTCTTCACCAAACTTGGCACATAGATAGATCTAGTTGTGAACTGGTGCCTTTTGATAGTTTGGGATTTTAAAAAAAGTTATTTTTCGAGTTTCCATGGCAACAACTTTGATTTAGACTGATAATGGAGGTAGTCCTCGTTTCCAGAGCAGATCTTGAAAACCGTACCATATTTCTTCACCAAACTTGGCACATAGATAGATCTAGTGGTGAACCTGTGCCTTTTGATAGTTTGGGATTTTAAAAAAAGTTATTTTTCGAGTTTCCATGGCAACGACTTTGATTTAGACTGAAAATGGCGGTAGTCCTCGTTTCCGGAGCAGATCTTGAAGAACGTACCATTTTTCTTCACCATATTTTGCACATTGATAGGTCTAGTGGTGAACTGGTGCCTTTGGATAGTTTTGGATTTTTTTTAAAAGTTATTTTTACGAGTTTCTATGGCAACGACTTTGATTTAGACTGATAATGGAGGTAGTCCTCGTTTCCGGAGCAGATCTTGAAAAACGTACTATATTTCTTTACAAAAAGGCCCAGTGAAAATACTTCACAGGAGCTAATGCATTGCAAACACCCGACATGTCATATTGGCGGGGGATGTGAGTATTTCATGCTTGTTAGAAATAGAGGTGCCGTTTTCAGCCGAGGTGCCGTTTTAGCCTGCACCCAGTAGAAACAATGAATCAGGATGTGCTTGTATTGTTAATATCTTTGGGACTAAAGACAATTGCAATTTGGAGCCTGAAATTGATGGTGATTACCAAGATCTGTTTTTGTCAGTAATGTCCATAGACCATAGACCATGAACATGCCACATGTGATTGTTGACATGATACTGACATGTATGATCACTGGTATGAAGCTGCTAATAAAATCACTGACTTGACTTAACTGAGTGTAATCCTCAATGTTAACATGACACACTTTATATGTTTATGTTGTAGCCCCACTAGCATGTACCCTGGAATCAGAAGAGGCAGATCGACTTATCAGGGAGAAGGTGGTGGTAGGTTACTGTATAACGTGGTATAAGGCACATACTGCATCAGTAATAACGTGGGGGCGGTCGGGTAGCCTAGTGGTTAAAGCGTTTGCCCGACACGCCTAAGACCCGGGTTCGGTTCCCGACATGGGTACAATGTGTGAAGCCCATTTCTGGTGTCCCCTGTCATGATATTGCTGGAATATTGCTAAAAGCGGCGTAAAACCATACTCACTCACTCACTCACTCAGTAATAACATGAACAATATGGGCAGTTTATATTTTTAAGCATAGTCTTAATGGTCATGATAGTAAGAGCTAAGTTTCAATATTATGATAGCATCATGAATCTTAAGCATTTTAAGTGATTTTGAGATATGTAAGTGTTTGAACGTCTGAATGGATACCTACAACTTCATGACCCGTAACTTTGCAGGTTCTTCTTTTTCTACATGTTTACAATATGACATTGTTCAGCTCGGGACTGTTTGTATGTTCACTATGTTCAGAGTTTCCAATCATATGAGCTACTAGGGATGTGACGATTCACCAATACACCGATGCATTGATGATGTATGTCTCAGAAGATACAATATGCGATACACACATACCTGTATCCATTCATATTTTAACCTGTATTGTTTCCCACTTGGACCCATCCTTTCATATTTAATTCATCTATTTCCTGGGGCACATCCAAGGTATTTTGCATGAAGTAAATTTTTTATTTTTTTCATTAATAGAAAATACTTATGTAGACACTCCAGTTTTATCTGAAATAAAGTATTGATTGAACAAGACATATTTGGTGTCATGATATGTATCGTGTTTTGAACAAAGTACAGTGATACATATCATATCAGGAGATAGTCGTATCATGACAGCTACTAACATGAGGAATTATTCACCAAGCGGCTGACCAACATTCTCTCGGACTTGTTTCACCCAACTTTTGTCTTTTGCAGGACTTTGAGTATGAAGAAGACGGGAATCTTGTCAGGAAGATCATTGGGCCCACAGAGTATGAGAAATACATCTTTATCACTTATTTAACTGCTTTAAATTCTAGAAAGTTTTGCCAGCAGGAAAGTACTGCAAACACTGTGAGTGACACACACTAGCAATAGTTTCATGACGCAATTATTTTTGCAGTCTAACAAGAAACAAAAAGTGAAACAAAAAGCATATTTCTTTTAGTCACTTCCATACATTGTCAGCCAACCAGTGCATGATTAAATATATAATCCCTCACATCCTGTTTCCTTAATTACACGTTGTCACTCAGTGTCAATAGTCTAATAAGGAAAGTTCACTACCTGACACGTCTGGTCAAATTGCTTAACACATACAAAAGTATAGTTTTGATCTTCAGTAATCTCATCAACGCTATCGCACAACCTTCCAGGCACAGTTGAGGCTATTTTTAGTCACTCACAATAATTTCATGGTGAATAACTTTCCAGATGTACAGTAATTAATAAGCACTGTGTATTGTTGTAGGGACTTGGGGAAGAAATGCAATTTGCCATGTTTGATGGTTTTCTCTCAACAATTTAGTGTTTTATGGAATGTAATTGACAACTACTGATGATGATTCTTGTTTGTAAGTGATGTAGCTACAGCATGTTCAGTATCAGGACTCACTGCTCACAGTGGCTTTGGAAACAGTTTAAGTGACATTACCATTGCACACACTTGTTTGTTATACTATCCTGCTCGCGATACTAACTAGAGTACATTACAAACTATGTCTATATGTGAGGTTTGTGGACATACATGTATATCCTAGGGTAAGTTTTGTTGGTTGGCTGATGGGATAGGTATCATGCACCAGTATTGCTCAAATTGTGTTATCTGGAATGTTTGTCAAGTCTGTGAAACCTTTCTGGTGTTTATTCGGATGCAACAATCATTCTTATTGATGTCATTGAATACCATAGCCTGGTGGTAATGAAGGCCGGGAATCAACCAAGCGCTCACGGTGAAGTGACACCAATACACAGGATATTCAAAGTCCTTTTACACGCGCTTCAGTGACTTTGCCCACGGATGCGAAAAACCGGGTCCTGCAGTAGGAATTGAAAATCCACATCCCAAAGAGGCCACCCTGACTGCTGGACATAGCCTTTGGTTGAAAATAAGAACTTATTGTCTCTGTGATAGATATAGTGAGTGCAGTGGACAAGACATTGTAGATGTAGACCTTTCACTAGACGTTTGTTTGTGTGATTTCAGTGAAGTTGAAAGCAGCCAGGACTTCACGCTGCTTGGAGAGACCGGTCCTGGTAGCATGGAGAACCTCAGTCACAGACTCAAGGTGGGTGCCCCTTCTGGCTGGTACCTTGACAAATAAGTTTTCACCAGTGATAAAACTGATACACTAGGTCCTGAGTGTAAGGGAACATACTTGCTGGCACGGCACAGGGAGTTTCATGGTTGGCATATTTCGGGGCCACCATGACATGTAGTGTTCCTATGGTTGTCATGGTTGTGTGGATGGAAGTTTGTGACCATCAATTGAACTGTTTGTACAGAGAGTGGGATGCAAGTTTGGTCAGAGACAGGCGGATACCTGAAAATAGCTTACTGATGAACATATTGCAGCTCAAAGGTTCAACTTAATTGAGGCATTTAAACATGTATAAATCTAAAGAATGGAGATTCTCTGAACCCTGTGCTTCCTGTATTATCTGTCAGCGATGATGATGTATCCGGCCTATTCCGAAGAATCTACTTTCATCAGCTTCGGCAAACCAACTGGTTGTACGGAAAGTTCTCTGACCAAACCTGTGCTTTCTTCAGTCAACCGCAATCCCTCTTATTGCTATGAAGCCTACTGGAGATTATATTGTTTCTTTGTCGGCCTCTTTTGCTGTCGCTGATAATGTCAAGCTTTTTCAGCCTGAGAGCATCCCTAAGACTGCGGCTTTGATTGAACCCTCTACAGTCACTTCTCATCACTCCCTGTCTACTCCTAGACATTCCAGATCTCCTAATCGTCATATTCCTGTAGAGCAGTTGTCACAGTATTGCCGATCAGACTCATCAGATTCTTCTCTCGATCAAGAAATGTGATGGTCTCATTCTCGAGAGTACTCTCATGAGGATCAGCTTGTGAAGTCTCAGCATTCGGCAAATAAATAAGTCTTCCACAACTCTAATCGATGATCGTGTAATGATCAACAAACTCCAAAAGATTGGGATTAGCAGTCTAGGGTTCACTATCACGGGTTGGCGATCTCCTTAGACTCACCATACCACCAAGGATCGTGACTCCTCTCCGGATTGCCTTTGGGTCCAACTCCAGCTCTTTTTCAACGTGAAAGTTTTCAGCTAGTTATACCTAGAAATACCTCCACACTTCTGGATGACGGAAATTGCGTTACTACGTACGTTTCTTTGTCCCAGTGACTTCATTATTTGTCTAGATTAGCATGATGCGTATATACACATCTCCTTTTTTTTGAGAGCACCGCTGTTTCCTCCGGTTCATTGTCCTTGGAAGGTGCTCTCATTGGGAATTTTTCTTTGGCCCTGTGGCTATTTACCCACCTCACCAAATTCATCCTCAAATTCGACGACTGCATTCAGGACAACGAAGATCCAGGCATTCTTCTCCTACATCTCAACTTCATGCAACGTTTTTTTCAACTCAGCTGGCTCGTCAACGCCAACAAAATCTGAAGCGATTCCAACTCATCGTCTTCAGTTTATCGGGCCCTGTTTGATACACACCTAGGCATGATGTTCATTCCCAGGATCGATGGATGAAGATTTCACACTATGTTCCATGGTCACTCACAGTCACTCTCTCTATGTCAATGGCAACAACTTCTCAGTCTTCTCATGTCAACACAGACTCTCAACTGGAGAGGACAACCTCACCTGCCACCAATTCAGTGTTTTTCTCAAGATCTACTTCCAGACCAACAATTGTCAGGTTCTATTTTGTCCTGCCAAATCACCTACAGCCACATCTCCAATGGTGACTGGTTCCATTAAACGTCTGCCAAGGAATCTCCTTGCGGGCGTTTATCCTGACTATCTCTTTGTTGATGCCTCAACCGTGGGTTCAGGAATCCCAATTTTAGGAAATACAAGTGGCAGTTCTGTGGTCTCTTGAAGAAGTCATCTCTCACATCAACAACTTAGTGTTCATAGTAGTGATCTTGGCAGTGTCACATTGGATGACAATTCTTCGTGAATCCAGTCAGATGATCCAGACGGACAGACGTTGATTGGTACATAAACAAGATAGGCTCAACCAAGTCGATGTCACTACTGTCTCTGGCGTTGACTTTTTTCAACTGATCGACTTACTCAACATTCAAGTTCATGCGAGACACATCCCCGGCATCTCGAATGGAATGGCGTCTACATCCAGTGATCTTCCAGTGAATTGGCCAGTTATTGCCGTGTCCAGACGTTGATCTTTCGCAACTCACTTCAACACTCAACTATCCTGGTTCGTATCTCCCATCCCCAATCCTTAGGCTTGGGACCACAACGCATTAGCATTCTCGATGTTCCCCCTACCTCAGGTCCTGCAGAAGATGACGTCCACCAGTCACCTTACAATGCTTTTGGTTGCGCCATTTTGGCCAACTCCAAGGGACAGCCTTCTTCTTCAGCCTCGTTCCAAGCTGCTCCACTCACGCCTGAAACCGTCAATCTATTCGCATTTACAGAAAGGTAGCCAAGACCATATCTGAGGCTCAGAGATCATTAACCAAGTCCTTATAGGACCATAAGTGGGAGGCATTTGAGGCCTATTGTCATGATCGTGATATTTCTACACCAACTACTGCTTATCCACCACAAATTGCTGATTACCTTAATCATCTCCGGTCGTCAAGTAGGCTTAAGGGTTCTTACCTTAGCTATGTATCTTGCTGTTATCAATTCTGTCATCGCTACTACAACGGGTGCAAAGATCTCTATGGTTGCTGAACTGCAATCATTAACATCCCTGATCCAGTTTGTTGTTGTATATACAGTTAAACCTTTGCATGATTCTTTGAGTTTATAGTAATTTTTCGTGTTCTTCCACACTGAGTATCCAACTGGAGGATTCATTCACTCGTCTGTAGAGACTTCAGTCTTCATCTGGAAGTCGCTGTCAGGTGCAGTCGGACCCCGTGTCCTGATCCACTGTTCCACTCACCTCAGCTTTGGGCATGTGGACGATCCTTTTGTCTATATGGTCGATCATTCCTCTTCTTGTCTTAAACCTATCAATTCAATCCCTGAGGTGTGATTTGACGAAGCGTTAAAGAGGTGGTTCTCCTATTGTCCATGGGAGTCGATTGTAGAGTTGATTGGCTGGATTCCATTTCCGAATTGATTATAAGTCAAACATTATATTGTCCAGTGCTGTAGCCAGCCTGTATTTCTTATAGAAAACATTTTTCCTTGTGAAAGTTAGCTTGAATTAGAAATGCATAATCTTATTTGCCACCCCCCTGTAAAAAAAAGTTAACTACGGCCTTGTTGTCTGATAAATACATAGTGTGAGATAGGATAAGTTTAAAAATTTGTAAATTTTACAATTTATTGTATATTTATATACTTATCCTATCTCACATGCTATATGCCCAAACGTCCATACCCGCATCACAATTCCTCTAGCCTTTTAAGCACTAGAAAGAATAAGTTGGCTTTGGAAATAAGCGTGTGTAGGTCAACCGACATGACCCAGATTATTTGGAGGTGACCATGGTGATGCTAGGTGTGTCCAGGTGGATTGTTTGTTTAGAAGCTGGAAACCTTTGTTTAGGCAGGTTTCCACTAAGAATTGAAAGAAAAAGGAGAAATACATAGTGTGAAATAAGATAAGTATATAAATATACAATTTATTGTATAATTTACAATTTTTTTGCATCAAATAATCAGTAACACCTGCAAATCAGAAAACACAGAATGTTTATTGACATTGTAAGTTATAAAAGTTATCAGTAATTTTCCGTAGCACTCTCTCCCTACATGAACCCTCACAGACAGGAAACAGACAGGATATCATTCTGGAGTGATGTGACATCAGTTTAAAATGCCATTACCATGATTACGTCCTGATGCAATGGATGACGTCACATGTTTCTGTGACAACTGCCCTTGCCTGTTTAGCACAATGTTGTCAAAAGCAACTGCATCAAAGTTGTTAAATATTGATCAAAATTAATATTGTATTAGTGTGGTTACCATTTTATCAAGCTGAATAGTATGTTTTTGTGAAATTTGGAATTGAGGAAAAGACAGATACATATCAAGATTAATATTCATAAAGGATCCAGTCCCATGTAACAGTGAGTTCAATCCCTCAGATTGCAACACACACTCCCACTCTTTGCACAGTGTTGAATAATCCTAATGTGCAAACTTCCTACCATGTGCAGGTGACGAGCTACCTGTTTGACATCATGTCCGGACAGTCTGAGGTTGACCACCCACTTTGTGAGGTCAGTATCACCGGCTGATGCTTTTTACTTCTATACTCCATATGCTAAATTCAATCTGATTAGAATCAGAACTTTTACTCTGATACGATGCCTCTTGACATAAAATTTGGGGACACCTCCATTGAAGGTTGTGTTAGGTGAACCCTGGGCAAACTTAGACTGCACAATCTAACTGAAGGAAGAGAGGGTTCTTGGGCCAATCAGATGGCAGCTTTATATAATGTTTCGGCTTCATTTCTTCAACACCTTGATTCAGAATTATTTATTTTTAACAATAGAAATCCCACAGAGAACACGAATATTCCTTTGAAGGTACTCCCTTCTTGGATTAGAAGCGTCCACAACATAATGGCGGGGTTAACTTTATTTTCGTGATATTGAAATCAGGTATGCAAGTCTGGATGCTTAGCTTAATCGTACTGATAATTTAGTAGCCTTGATGCTGATTGACTGATCAGAAAGTTTTCATATCTCATGCAAAGAGGTATCCTTAGGCTAAACAAAATAATAGTCTTGGTTCTCAGGCACCGCCCCCATCATCATGGAGTTTGCCGCACAATTTGCTTTTATTTCCATTTTAGATTTAAAAAAAAAATCCTAATACTTAAAAACAATGCGATCCAATACAGCACTCAGTTACTTCCCTTTACATGCGCACTGCTTTGCTGCGCATCTCGTGCTCCAGGTGTATGCTTGTTTGTGTAGGGAAGCCCTTTCCAAGGTTCATGGCACACAACTGTTTATTTGGTTACATACTAGTTTGAACAAGCCCAAAAAAGAAAACCACCGCCGGCCCACACTATATTTTCAAAAGTCATTGCCTGAGAACCAATTCTTTTATTTTTTAAGACTTACATATCTGATTTTAATGAGACTGATAATAAGTTATGTATTTTACAAGCAATTTGAAAGTAATGTTATCCAAGTAACAAAACTGGATGATGTGTTGTCACTTTACTTGTACTTATTGTTGTAGTTTGTTAATTTCCTTGTATTGTCTTTGTTACAGGAATGCACAGACAATCTGCTGGATCAGTTGGATCATCAGTTGAAAGTGACGGAGGACGAGTGCAAAGATTACAGGTGACTGTAGCTATAGAAACCTAATTAGTGTCTTCAGTAGGAACGGGCTCAATGTAAATTGTTACAAATTATGCACAAGGCCATGCTTAGTTTCAATTTAAACTGCTGTGTGTTGCTGACCAGACTGATGTTTGATGTGTGAACAGAGACTTCCTGGAGAAACTGGGAACATCTGGGGATGAGGTGGACGAAAAGGCCCTGGACAATGAACTCAAACAGGTTGGTGCAGTAGTCACACTGCTTAACAACTCATGTGATATGGATGGCAACTTCAGCTTAACCTGGAGTAGGTTTTAACAGAACAATTGTAAGAACCAATAAATCTTAAATCGAATTAACATATAAATTACTGTCATGTTTCTAAAACACAAAGGTTTCACAAAGATTGGATTGGCCTTCCTCTGATGTTCTCTATGCTACTCTATGGTATTTCTGGTGTTGGCAGCTTCAGGCCGAGGAGGAAACATTGAAGCAGCAGCTGTCCAGTGTGGAGAAGGAGAGGGAGGAACTTGTGGAGCTGATGCAGAATGAGAGGAAGAACACTGAGGAACTAGAGCAGCAGGAGGCAAAGTATGGGGAGATAACTGTGTGGGAACTAGGCGACACAACCACAGCTGTAAAGCGAATTGTAAGGGATTGATAAGTCCATGTTATTGTGTGGTGCAAACAAGTCATAGAAGACAGTAACAGTTTAAGCATATGGGAAAGTAGTCTTGAAATCTGTATAATTTGTTGGTCTTTTCTTGTGATTGGCACACATGCCAGTTTTCAGTTATGTTATAATGTTATGGGGATCTCTTTGTAGAAACTGAATGAGTAAATAAATGTTTCCCACTCAGATACCGGAAAGATTACAATGAGTACAAGCGCCAGGCATTGGAGCTGGAAGATGAACAAAGAAGGTGACAGTTTGTTCCGTTTCTTAGGGAAAGGAATGCATGTTCACTAAAGTGGAAACTAAGGCCATTCATTGCTTTGACTTCATCTGTATACACTTTAAGATGGCTTTAGATAGTATTCTTAAAGCTTCATTTGTTTTGAGTTTGTGAAACTATACCACCCAAGTGTCAGAATTTGTATTTTTTGTCTAAAGCCAAAGCGGAATAATGCATGTAAGAATGTTTTGCTGATTTCTCTTAAGTGTTTAGGAATATATGCCATAGAGAATGTGAGCCACAATCTTGCTATCCTGTTAAGTTGATCAAATGACAATATTATACCGTGAATCAGCAGATTCCCTCACCTTTCAGTGTCGACAACCAGCTTCGGTATGCCCAAGCTCAACTTGATAAACTGAAGAAGACCAATGTGTTCAATGCAACATTTCACATCTGGTGAGTGTATTGAGTTTTGGGGAATGTTGTTTAGTCAGGTTTATAATCCAAATGTCTGCCCAATTCATGTTGTGAATGCTAATGGTTTGACAGAAAATGATCTGAATCCATCCTTTTCAGGCACTCTGGACATTTTGGCACAATAAACAACTTTCGTCTTGGCCGCCTTCCTAGTGTACCAGTAAGTGGGTTTATATGGTGTAAGTTGGAATGCAGTTTTTCAGTTGTGTACATGTTGCTATCAGTTATGTCAATGTCATGGTGAATGTGTGGGTATCAGTTATGTCAATGTGTTGGTGAATGTGTTGGTATCAGTTATGTCAATGTCGTGGTGAACATGTTGGTATCAGTTATGTCAATGTCGTGGTGAATGTGTTGCAATCAGTTATGTCAATGTCGTGGTGAATGTGTTGGTATCAGTTATGTCAATGTCATGGTGAATGTGTTGGTATCAGTTATGTCAGTGTCGTGGTGAATGTGTTGGTATCAGTTATGTCAATGTCGTGGTGAATGTGTTGGTATCAGTTATGTCAATGTCGTGGTGAATGTGTTGGTATCAGTTATGTCAATGTCGTGGTGAATGTTGGTATCAGTTATGTCAATGTCATGGTGAATGTTGGTATCAGTTATGTCAATGTCATGGTGAATGTTGGTATCAGTTATGTCAATGTCTTGGTGAATGTGTTGGTATCAGTTATGTCAATGTCGTGGTGAACATGTTGGTATCAGTTATGTCAATGTCATCGTGAAAATGTTGGGATCAGTTATGTCAATGTCATGGTGAACGTGTTGGTATCAGTTATGTCAATGTCGTGGTGAATGTGTTGGTTTCAGCCACGTCAATGTTGTGGTGAACGTGTTGGTATCAGTTATGTCAATGTCGTGGTGAACATGTTGGTATCAGTTATGTCAATGTCGTGGTGAACGTGTTGGTATCAGTTATGTCAATGTTGTGGAGTAATCTGTCATTGTAGCTATTGTTTACAATCAGGTTGGTGATCGAACATGTAAAATTGTTATTGCTAATTGTAACATTAATACATAATGGCTTTATCGGAAACTGTTCAAGATTCACTGTAACAAAATTATACTAACTATAGATCAAATTTATTTATTGAAATAAATGTTATATCAAATTCATGTAGCTAGTATAGTTGATCTAAATATGTGGACAGTACATATCTTGTGACATTTGGCTGGTGTTTGCCGTATGCAGGTTGACTGGAACGAGATCAATGCAGCCTGGGGTCAGACCGTGCTACTGTTACACTCACTGGCCAGGAAGATGAACCTCACATTCCAGAGGTAACTCAACATCTCATTACATAGATACTTGAGTCAATCCATATCAAACCAAGATATATAATCCAAATTCAGGAATATTTGAGTAATCTCTTTTCTATGACATTTTCTAAAATATATTCAATGTTCAAAAGGTTTTATGCAAATACATGTATGATAATCAGCTCCAAGTCGTTATTGAGACTGGTTCACGGTTATGGATGTGCATCATGGCAGTAGTGAAACCCAAACAGAACACTTGATGTTACTTGTTGATGTAATATACCTAATCTTTAGTTTTACATATAGCCTTTATTTACATTTCATGTACTTGTCTCCCCTGAGTTGATGTCTTAAGTGTTCCCCAGTCTAGTTGCAACAATAGTGTCATCCCAGCAATCAATCCTAGTCCGTCACACTTTGTACAGCAAACTTGACATATTGATGCCATATCACATGCATACATATAATGTTTATTTATCCAATTTTCAGACTGCAGTCTGTGCTGGACTTGTTTCATTCGCTATCTCAAAATTGTCCCTCTGCATCTTTTCACAAATGTGTACTCCTTAGGCTTAAAAAAATAAAAGAATTGGTTCTCAGGCAATGACTTTTGAAAATATAGTGTGGGCCGGCGGTGGTTTTCTTTTTTGGGCTTGTTCAAACTAGTATGTAACCAAAAAAAACAGTTGTGTGCCATGAACCTTGGAAAGGGCTTCCCTACACAAACAAGCACACAAACTCCTATTGCCGCCATGACCATACCACGAGATGCGCAGTAAAGGGAAGTAACTGAGTGCTATATTGGATTGCATAGTTTTTAAGTATTAGGATTTTTATAAAAAAAATTAAAATGTACCATAAAAATGAAATGTGCGGCAGACTTTATGATGATGCTGGCGGCGCCTGAGAACCAAGAAAAAGCTTACAAGACTGGAAAACTACTAGACATTGCTGGCTTCAGACTAGTTGCTTGATTCTGCTTTGTGAATTTACAAGCTGAAAGCCTGCAGATATGAATAATTTTAATAATGTCGAGGGAGCCCTAACTGGGGTAGGTTGCCACGCAATTACACTTGTTTGAGGTATAGGGTATCTTGGTAAAGGATATAACATGACTCTGAGAGTTTGGTTGAAAATGTAAAGCCCTCATATAAACCGTCTAAATCCATGAAATATGTAAAAATAACCAAAACATTTGGATACCTTGTAGAGAAACAATAGCCTAGCAACATAAAACAAATTTGACGACAATAAGTCAGAGAAGGACCATGAGTGTTTAAAGTATTATCTGTCTTATATGCCAAAAGCAGTATGTGACACACATTTTATCAACAATATTATGTTTATGTTTAGTGGTTCATTCACCAGGCTACAGATTTGTTTTTCAGGTTGATTTTACATCATTCTGCACACTTCCTTACGTTTGCATTGACATGTGTGTTATATGGATTGTCTTCAAATGCAAAATATTTCTCTGGGACAGGGACTTTCTATAGAATATCACTGGGACAGAGGGACTTTCTGTAGAATATCCCTGGGCCAGAGGGACTTTCTATAGAACATCCCTGGGCCAGAGGGAAATTCTATAGAATATCACTGGGACAGAGGGACTTTCTGTAGGATATCACTGGGACAGAGGGAAATTCTGTAGGATATCACTGGGACAGGGACATTCTGTAGGATATCACTGGGACAGGGACTTTCTGTAGGATATCACTGGGACAGGGACTTTCTGTAGCATATCACTAGGACAGAGGGACTTTCCATAGAATATCACTGGGCCAGAGGGACTTTCTGTAGGATATCACTGGGACAGAGGGACTTTCCATAGAATATCCCTGGGACAGAGGGACTTTCTGTAGAATATCACTGGGACAGAGGGACTTTCCATAGAATATCACTGGGACAGAGGGACTTTCCATAGAATATCACTGGGACAGAGGGACTTTCTGTAGAATATCACTGGGACAGAGGGACATTCTGTAGAATATCACTGGGACAGAGGGACTTTCTGTAGAATATCACTGGGACAGAGGGACTTTCTGTAGAATATCACTGGGACAGAGGGACATTCTGTAGAATATCACTGGGACAGAGGGACTTTCTGTAGAATATCACTAGGACAGAGGGACTTTCTGTAGAATATCACTGGGACAGAGGGACTTTCTGTAGAATATCACTGGGACAGAGGGACTTTCTGTAGGATATCACTGGGACAGAGGGACATTCTGTAGGATATCACTGGGACAGAGGGACATTCTGTAGAATATCACTAGGACAGAGGGACTTTCCATAGAATATCACTGGGACAGAGGGACATTCTGTAGAATATCACTGGGACAGAGGGACTTTCTGTAGGATATCACTGGGACAGAGGGACATTCTGTAGGATATCACTGGGACAGAGGGACATTCTGTAGAATATCACTGGGACAGAGGGAAATTCTGTAGAATATCACTTGGACAGAGGGACTTTCCATAGAATATCACTGGGACAGAGGGAAATTCTGTAGGATATCACTGGGACAGGGACTTTCTGTAGAATATCACTAGGACAGAGGGACTTTCCATAGAATATCACTGGGCCAGAGGGACTTTCTGTAGGATATCACTGGGACAGAGGGACTTTCCATAGAATATCACTGGGACAGAGGGACATTCTGTAGAATATCACTGGGACAGAGGGACTTTCTGTAGGATATCACTGGGACAGGGACATTCTGTAGAATATCACTAGGACAGAGGGACTTTCCATAGAATATCACTTGGACAGAGGGACATTCTGTAGAATATCACTGGGACAGAGGGACTTTCTGTAGGATATCACTGGGACAGGGACATTCTGTAGGATATCACTGGGACAGAGGGACTTTCTGTAGAATATCACTAGGACAGAGGGATTTTCCATAGAATATCACTGGGACAGAGGGAAATTCTGTAGAATATCACTTGGACAGAGGGACTTTCCATAGAATATCACTGGGACAGAGGGACATTCTGTAGAATATCACTGGGACAGAGGGACTTTCCATAGAATATCACTGGGACAGAGGGACTTTCTGTTTGATCATCACAGGGAATGCGGGACTTTCTGTTTGAACATCACTGGGACAGAGGGACTTTCCATAGAATATCACTAGGACAGAGGGACTTTCTGTAGGATATCACTGGGACAGAGGGACTTTCCATAGAATATCACTGGGACAGAGGGAAATTCTGTAGAATATCACTTGGACAGAGGGACTTTCCATAGAATATCACTGGGACAGAGGGAAATTCTGTAGAATATCACTTGGACAGAGGGACTTTCCATAGAATATCACTGGGACAGAGGGACATTCTGTAGAATATCACTGGGACAGAGGGACTTTCCATAGAATATCACTAGGACAGAGGGACTTTCCATAGAATATCACTGGGACAGAGGGAAATTCTGTAGAATATCACTTGGACAGAGGGACTTTCCATAGAATATCACTGGGACAGAGGGACTTTCTGTTTGATCATCACAGGGAATGCGGGACTTTCTGTTTGAACATCACTGGGACAGAGGGGCATTCTGTAGGATATCACTGGGATAGAGGAACTTTCTATAGAAGGACCCTGGGAGGAGGGACGATCTTCAGAAAGACCCTGGATTATTCTTTAGAATCTACTTTGTCAGCCTGGAGATTAAGTTATATTAAGGAAAGAAAAACTCTAGCAACAATAGTATGACATCACTTGAGGTTTGTATAGTAAAATAAGCAATTACCAACACAATGAATACTAAAGCAGTCATGGCTTCTATATGTATTGCTATTGGAACACTATATCCACATTCATTATGGCCATGTCCTACTTACAACAAAGTCTTTTTGCATGTTAATGATAAATTAATCAACTCACATAAAAGTATGTGATACTAAGGTATGTTTCCCCGACAGATTCCGACTAGTGCCGTATGGAAACCACTCGTACCTGGAGTCCCTGTCGGACAAGTCCAAGGAGCTGCCTCTGTATGGCTCGGGGGGATTCCGCTTCTTCTGGGACACAAAGTAGGTGGTTGTTGGGACTCTCTTCCACGTCGTCAAGTATTGTCAGTGTTTTTACATGGACCTTCTTTTCTTAAACAAATATATCTTTCAGAAACTATTTGAAAACAATGTTTATATCTGTACACAGTCTAATATACAATGGTGTTAGCTCCTTTCAGTTTGATTGGCCGTTTCCATTAAGAGTCTAATCTGTAACGAAATGAACCTGTTGAGTCTGGTCCAGATGACTGTCTGGAGCACAGGTGTTGACTTACCTAAAACAAGCCTGTCTCACATGTCATCCAGCCCTACTCATGCAGTATGGAGCATCCGCCCTGTCACTGTTGTGTTCACCATAGAACTGAGTTGTAAGGACTTCTTGCCTCATGACTCAATACACTTTAGAACTGATGTGAGGCAGTGTGGCCTAACCTCATCTAGACATGAGCGCCTTCACCCCTTAGGGTTCTCCTGAGCACCTGCAACGTCTCTTCCTTTGGATGAATCTTATAGTGAACAAACCTCTCAACCTCATAGTACCACACGTCATATGAAATGTCAAGAAAAACAAGGTGCTTGATTGAAACTGAGACTACTGGGTAACCCTGGGTTGGTGGAGCAGTGTAATGCCCTGATTCCTTGACTTGAGACTGGACTTCCAGTAGGGCTAGGATGATTCACCAACTGTGCCAATCGATACGTAGCATGATACGTTGCTCACGATCCAATATGTATCATGATAGTTGCATGTGCTCTTATCTGTGATCCCTAAGCCATGTTTTTCATAGACTGGATGACCAAATACCTGGCACACTGACTTTTTACTGTTGGTAGTGTCAAGTATGGCACAATGAATGAAAATACTTACGTTTTCACTACTAATTAGTGTTTGGTGTAATAGTTATGAAGCAAACACTGAAGGGAAGAATCGATGTTCTTTACTTACTGTGCGACTGTAATGGATACTTGTATCGAGAAGAGGGGCGGTCGGGTAGCCTGGTGGTTTAAGTGTTCGCTCGTCACGCCGAAGACCCGGGTTCAATTCCGACATGGGTACAATGTGTGAAGCCTATTTCTGGTGTCCCCCGCCGTGATATTGCTGGAATATTGCTAAAAGCGGCGTAAAACCATACTCACTCACTCACTGTATCGAGAAGAAAACATCGCAATCCACGCATGCATTGGTGTATTGTTCCACCACCAACTTTCTTTAAGAAATAGGATAACTCATTCAGTCATAATTGAGACAATGAAAACATTAATGAGTAATAAGTGGGAGTAATGCCACAACTAATATGGCCCTTCACAACATGTATGACAAATGAAGGTGAAAGCTAATGTAGCTAAGTGACAGGTGTGTAATTTACGTGGCCCACATGAAGAAACAAGACACATAAATGGAAATTATGATTACCATGATTACTAAAGGTCTCAGAATTTAGTGTTTATGTACTTATTGAAGTCATCAGTTTACTTGAATTATGGTCTGGGTTTAAATAAGGTCTTTTTGTTAAACTTTAATGTGTATGGTGGGTTAGTTGCCAATGTCTTTGCTTGACAACTTAATCCATACTTAAATAATACTGTTTCTTAAAGCAGCGTAAAACCATACTCACTCACTCACTAGACTAGACAAACTTAATTATACCATGTAGACTTGACTGAAACTAACTAAAGTAACTAAACTTTGCATCACTAAGGCTCCATGATGCTAACTATGTGAAACAGGCTGCGCAGCACAGCACAGCACCATACTGCTGCAATAACATCTAGTCACAAAGTGGCACAGCTACATGGAGTAAATACAGGTGTCTATTTTAACAGTTATAGTACCTAACCAGGATGAGAAATAGGAAATATGGCTGTACATATATAGTGGAGTCCAGTATCAACAGTCTATGTACATACTCCAGTGTCTCTGATCACATGAGGAGAGTCCATGTACACACATATCCACCAGGTGATGGATGACAGCGTACGCTGTACCAGTCGATTGACATATGATTTTGTTTATTTGTTTGTTTGTTGTTTTATGCCGCTCTCAGCAATATTCCATTTATATGACGGCGATCTGTAAATAATCGAGTCTGGACCAGACAATCCAGTGATTGATATTATGAGCATCGTTCCATGCAATTGGGATCGATGACATGCATCAAACCAAGCCTGACCAACCGATCCCGTTAGTCGCCTCTCACGACAAGCATAGTTGCAAGCATGGGTTGCTGGATTGACATATGAAGATCCCTACATGCCTCCAACTTTGGATTGCCCTACAACAGAAATAGATGAATAAGTTAGATGAATACTCTGCTTCAACTTCATTCATATCAACGTGATCAGTGTTGATAGTAAAACATCTTCCCGAGGCAAGGGAGTTAACTGACTATGAAAGTCCAGTTTCCATCCTTGCCGAACTAGGCTGGAAGTATGGAGTTTTATTTTGGCTGGACTAACGAGTCTATGCATAGTCCAATCAAAATCATGTAATGAAATTGACATCCTGTTCGTAAACTGCCATGCAGATTTCAGTCTATTACAGGAATTGCAAAGCATGTGTACTGCCATCTTGGTGTCAACAGATATTTTCCAAGTCTTTTTATGTATTTAATCAAGGTGCACACGTGATTTGATGCACTTCACGAAGTAAGACCCGTTTTATCACAATTAAGATTTTGATTATCGGTCATATCATCTTGACTGGGTGTGACCATTTTGTTTGAAGCAAATGCAAGTAATATGAGACATAGAATCTGATTGGTCATTAGAAAGGACATAAATTGTAATAGCTACTGGTGGCGATACGATTGAGCCCAGAAATTCCAGCCTACTTTGGCAAGGGTGGAAACTGAACTTTGACTGTCAGTAAATAAATAGTTTGGGATAATGAATAGATATTAATAATACATTTAGCTTTGCCATTCAAAGTTGTTGTCAGGACATGATTATGTATAGATTATATGCATTTAAACAAATCCTTATTGACCCATATTTCACATTTTTCAGTGGTATACATACACAATACATGAGACATAAGTGTCATGTGTCCTCTATATAACTTAGAAACTGATAAAAGAAACTTAAAGCAACATTTATCAACATTTTATGTTTCAAACATACTTTACATGAACTGTAGGAAATGGGCGTAAAATATCTGTTGCTGGCGTACAATTCTTGAAAAAGACATTATAAAAAGCATCAGTTCCTCTGTTGCCTTGTGGTACACTCACTGGGCTACAGATACGAAGGTTGTGTGTTCCTCGGGAATACAAAGAAAACATTTGTCATTTGATTTTACATTTCATTACATGTTACAATCTGAACGGAAGCTGCATTAATGATTAATGAACCTGAGATATTATATTATAACACATTACATAGCAAATATGCCTGGAATATCTTATTAAATCCTGGGGTCTGGGTTAGAATTGGTCTTCAGCAACCCATCCTTTTCTTTAGAGGCAACTAAAAGGATCGGTTGGTCAGATTCAATGATTTTGTTGCTGCATCTCATTTGTATCCCAATTGTGTAGATCGATGCTAATGACATCAGTCCCTGGATTCTTTGGCCCAGACTCAAATACAGCTGGAATATTACTGAGTGCGGCATTAAACAAACAAACAAACAAACTAAACAATGATATTTTTCACTCATGACTTGAAAATTCCTTGGAACTTACAAAATGTATTCACTCAGGACAGATTATGTGTAAATCCTTGTAGCTTGTAGGTTATCTGATCAGTATTCAGTGTTTCTGTGCCACTTGGGGATCATGGTTAGTAACAAAGCATTGGGTAATCCATGTATTCGTGGCTTTCAAAGTTTAATTTGTTGGCAGGGGTTGCAGCATGCACACTTCTCAATAGTTCAAGAATTGTTAACGTATATATGTCCCCTATTTTCAGATTTGATCAAGCAATGGTGGCCTTCCTAGACTGTTTACAGCAGGTAGGTGGTATTACAGACATGCTTAGTGCCTAGGGTGCATTACAAGTGTTCAAGGCTGGGCTTATGGTATGTAACAGATGCCTAGAAACTACCTATATTCCATTTCGTTTATTAACACTCTGGGAAGCACATAGGACAATAAATGTGGTTCTCCGGTTTGTGTGCTTATTTTAGAAAAATAAAATTTAGTTATCAAGTATGTGAATATGCTCACAAGTACTCCAGCTCAGAATTCTAAGAGCCATACATTGGGATGTTGATGATGACAGCCACTCATCCTGTCATGTTTTCCCAGGAGGAATTGTTATTCCTGAAGGTTTTGAGGGTGGGGACACATATGTGACAATACGTGGATCTTCCTAGGTTAGTGATGATGTTTTGTGTGTGGTGTAGTTCAAGGAGGAGGTGGAGCGAGGTGACACAGGCTTCTGTCTACCGTACAGGATGGAGAACGGCAAGATTGAAGACTCCAGCACAGGCAACTCTTACTCCATCAAGTGAGTTCATTGTCAGTTGCACAGGGTTAATGAGGACATATACCGGTAAAGTAATGTTGATCATCTTCAAGCTACTGGGTAGTGTTTCTTAGACTCTTTTTTCTGAGATGTTTTTTCCTAATTGGCCACAGAAAAGTCAAGTTGGTATCAGCCACACGTTCTTTAACATGAGGTACCTCGAATGAACAAGTGGATATAAGAAATTTTTGGCATATCCCTGCTTACATGTGACATCTATTGGTGATGACATGTGTTTGTGGAGAGATCTTTCACAATTTGGCATGCTTCAGTCTTGTTTAGTTGCTCATAATTGTACCTTACTATGTAGCATTGAAGACAGAGTATACAGTGGTCTTCAAATCTTTTACCATGTTTACCCTAGAGGGTCAGTCACGCAAACATAGTCATGTATGGTTGCTTGCTGGTTATGGGGAGGCTGCTGCATCATATGCCACAATCAAACATTGGTTGACCCAACACCAGCACCACAAACGAAAACACCATCCAGAACCTGGTCCTGAGCAATAGGCACATTACAAACTGTCAGGTAAAGGAGACCACAGGCTTCTCTTGGGTCAACAGAAGCAATCCATCCATCAGAAACATCTACATGTGTTCAGGGTTGGTGCCTGATGACTTCCTAGAATGCTATTCGATGAAATGAATGTCACAACCTTTTATGATCTGTTAACCATATAATCGCAACACAGAAGATTTTGATTGAAGCTAGCCACAGATGATGATACCTGGATCCATCACTGCGATTCTGAGGGGTAACAACTTATAGCCACCTTCTTTGGGGACAAGAAAGTAAAGCCATAATACAGATTGAGTAGTTACCAAGGGAACCAACTGTGTGAATGGTGAATATTATGCCTACTTATTGAAAAGGTTGCAAGAGTTTGTCAAAGAGAAGTGTTGCTTAAACTTCAGCATGGTGTTGTCCTCCATCAGGACAATGCTTCAGTTCACACCAGTCATGTTGTAATGGCTGCTGTACAGGAATGGGGATACCAGGTTCTGTCCCATCCTCCTTATCAACCATATGTGGTACCTAGAGACAATTTAATTAGGACCAGGAAATGGTTGCTGCTGTGAAGGGCTGTTTGACAGACCAGGATTTGACCTTCTACAATACTTGGACAACTGGACTGGAGAAGGCTATGCTGACATAACTAAAGTTCACAATATTTCATTCCTGCGTATGCTTGGCTCAAAACATTTTGATACTTGTGAATCAATTATTAACCCGGATAGTGTCGTTTGTGGATCATGCTATTAGCCACTGGTTTGCTGCAACAAACATTGCAAATAAAGAGTTGGTACCCTTTGTACTTATGTATATGTGTGATTCAGAGGTGCATGTTTTGTCAACAAGTGATGATGATGGCCGATACATATCCTGGGTTGAGAACCAATCCTAAATGAGTTCTAGTACAGTTTACAAGTATAAGTTGTATATGCATGATGTCTGTTTTTCAGGATACAGTTCAACTCTGAGGAGCAGTGGACGAAGGCCCTCAAGTTCATGTTGACCAACCTCAAGTGGGGGCTGGCCTGGGTCTCCTCCCAGTTTGCCAACAAGTAGACAGCATGTAAAGCAGAGATTATGTTAACGGGAGGACATGTGATTCAACAATCATGAATCCATGTGATGATTTCCTCACATAGATAAAATTACAATGACAACAACACAAGAGGTCCTGCCTGTGGATATCCCTTATTTACCTTCAGGATTTCAATGTCATTGAGGCTGGGTCCACAGTAGGGCATGTGAAAAGTTCATTTTGTTGATAATCAGAGAACAGCAAGATATGGCCAAGGCCTGATAATGATGTGAGCACTACTTGTAACTGTATGGATGATTTATGTAAATGTTTGTGTAATAATTTGTAAGTATTATTTTATCTTTGCAGTTGCAGTTGTTGAGTGCTATGTGATGTTGATGTAGAAATATATAGGGCTACAGATGCAATACAATGAATGGTCATATTTGAATTTGTGTTTGATACTTTCTGTACTGAACTGTTTACACAAGGGTATGCTACTGATTTCAACCTACATTCTGTATATTATTAACATTGTCACTGTTTGTTGGTTTCATAGGAAGATTTTTGAAGAAATGAAGAAATGGAGATTGTTTGGAAAGTAAATAAAAGACACCAGACATTTTGTAGCTTGCCAGTACCAAAAGTCTGTGAAAGCCTGTGGCATGGCATTTTGTCTATCCTTCGGTTGTTGTCTGGCATTTGTCCCTTCTTTTAGAAACAGCCAGACAGCTAAATATATTATTTTCTTGAACTGAAATATCAATAGTTTAGAGTACGTTTCTTAGAAATATTTAAACACTCCCTTGAAGCGACCAGGCCACAAGGCCCAGTGAGCTGAAACTTTATGTAAACAATAAAGACCAAGTTTCATCCCTCCCAGCTGAGGCCACTTACTAAAACAACACTGTCTCACATGGTGTCCCAGATGTGAACATGTGCAGGAGTGCTTTTACCAGGGCATTTTCCTTCAATGTTGCTTTCAAAATGAAATTGATAACATGGTGTCCAACATTGTCCACATTGCATAGCTGGTTCATATTAGCAGTGTTTATCCCTTATATAGTTGATTGATTATCACTTCCTACACTGTGTGTCACTGTGATAGTAGTTGCTACATGTTTATATTTGTTAATCTTCTCATGATGTCACATGAATAAAGAATTTTTAGTTTCACATTCCATTTGTATATATCTATAACTAGTGAATCTAGAGGCATTATATTGATTAATGCATAAAAAACCAATCTGGTGTTCAAAAGGCAAAGTCAGGTCATTTATGTTGATTGGTAAAGATGCCACATAAAGGCCCTGTGTATGTGAATGCAAGTGTGTTGTGTTGTGTATACCTAAAAGCTGTGAGGACATTTTAGTTTATAGGGCAATAATTACCACTTGTTTGCTAGCTGGGGGCTTCAAGTGCCATGCCTTCCTCTGCCCTGTTAGGTGTATTGTGGTACATAAAGTATGGGAGCTATAAATGATGTAGAAGTGTAGTCTACAATATAAATCTACAAAAACATTTTTGCAAACGCAGGTTAGGTAAAGCAATAACTTTATTATGAATGCGATTACAAATTCAAGTTCCACTTTTCAGTAGCAGTGTATCCTATATACTAAAAGGATTTAAGACAAAATAATTTTATATAAATGATTGCAAACCTTATGTTGATGAAAACGCATGCAAAGAGTAGTAAATTAACTTTCAAGGCAACCCTTATTCACATCTATGCATTTGCACAAATCTATTTGGGGGGCTAACAAACAAATTGCGCTGGGGCATCCTGGCCTTCTCAGTAGTTGACGTATGACCTTCCACTCTGCAGATAATCAGGTTGTCCTGTGGCAACGTTTTGAATTCATTGTTTCAATAACTATTGTGGGTCTGTGGTAGAGTATGTCAGTTATATCACTAAAGTCTTTGCGAAACGGCCAAGCTCATATCCCAGCAAACACTAACTTTGAGGGTAAATGCAGGATAAAAGGAAATGGGCGTTTCTTCAATTTCTGAAGTACAATTTAATAGTTCTGTCATAAACTACCACTCAAATGCGTACCCCTGCACTAGCATATGTACACAAACTCGAAAAATCGTATAGATGAGGCTGCCAACTACCCCTCCCCTGATAACCGAATGACATATTTTGTACCCTACATCTCATTGCTTACCTCTTAGTCCCCAATACTACTTAACAAAAAACTTACATCATGCACCGAAGGGCTTCCGGATCACAATTGTTATAGTATTTATATACGACACTCAATATTTCAATATTTCTTACGTTACCTTTGGTGTCATCTGGCTGATAGTTACAAGTGGAAAACCAGGTGCTGTTTAGCGTAAAAATGACATAATTACTTCATACCAGCGCACTTTTGTGTCAATTTTACCTTTGTTGGGCTATTTCAGGATTTGTACCATCATATTACCTTTCTGTGATTATATATTCCGAGATACTTAGTAAAACAAAAACTGTATGCATGGATGGTAGTTGGTTTAAAACTGTCAAGGTTGTTGATTTTTCATATAAACTGACTGTCATGGTAGTTGTAGTTGGACAAAATCTCCTTTATCCCTCGCTTTTGTCTTTCAGCCAACCAATAGTCCAAAAATGACACCATGTTCAGGATTTTTTTCATTGTAGAAATGCTAATACTTGTCACAGCAGTGGTAGACCATATTTAGACTTGTAAGTCTTCAGAGGTGAGGTGAAATGGGGTTTAACTTGTGTCCAAGATTATTGCACTTATATGGCGATGTGCATGCATGTGTGGCCTCTTGTGCTAGTCTGGACTAAGATACCATGCCACAGTTAAACATGAATACCAAACTAAGATACAGTATGACCGCCTCCGTGGTCTAGTGGAAGAACGCCCGGATAGCTGAAGATCCAGGGTTCAATCCGGTCGCATCAGTGTTTGTTTGTTGTTTAAGGCTGTACTCATCAGTATTTAAGCTATATGACGGTGGTCTGTAAATAATCATCGAGTCGTGGCCAGACAATCCACTGATTGACATCATGTGCATCGATCCACTCAATTGGGATACGATGACATTGCGTGGATAGATGCTGATAATGTCAATCCCTGGATTGTCTGGCCCAGACTCAATTATTTACAGACCGCCGTCATATAGCTGGAATATTGCTGAGTGCAGCGTTAAACATCAAACAAACACCGTATACTGACTCCGACCAATCCTTGTTTTAGCCCCTTAATACCAGCGCCAGGCGGGGTAACAACAGGTACAATCTTTTTACGTCTTTTTGTATGACGCGGCCGGGGATCGAACCCCAAGAGATGAATCTTCCTCTCTCCGGGCGGACGCTCGACTACTAGCACACGGAGATGGTCACGTCTTCAGACACGAGCCACAGATTAAATCATGTTTCCTTTTTATGTGGGTGCCTAAAGCTAAGGCACTGTTGTAAGTGACACACATGACTAATCAGTTGCCTAATACAGCTGGAATATTGCTGAGTGTGGCGTTAAACAACAAACAAACAAACTAGCAAACATTATGCAGTCAGAATTGTACAACGGACATTGCTTTTAGAAGAGATGTTTTATGATTATGGAAATGTTTTTTTGTCTCTTGTTGTCAACAAGACGGCGAATATGCGTTATTGCTTAAATCCACATGCGGGCGTTTAAAGATATTTGCAGCCAAAACATGGTAGTTGAAATACCATGAGAGAATACATGGACTAGAAAAACGACCCAAAATGTTTTTATCAGAACAGTTTTCAACAATATCACTTCTATTTAAATCTGTTCAAATCAAACTTTTTTTCATGCTGACTACCCAGACAGTATTATTCCGACCTTGACAGTAAACTACCATCAACTCGTTTTTGTTTTGTCTAAGAATTTATTCATTACACAAAGGTGTTACGTTGATTCAAATTCATATTGCATATTGCATTGGTTTCATCAACGTTAATTTACTAACTCGACATTTTGTAAAAAGCAGAAAGGGTATCCACAGAGGATCCTGAGACTATTATCTGAACCGTCCAGGAAAAGTTGGGTATCATCTGCGTATTTGTCCTTAGCGAGGCTAGCTTTCTGTTCTTTGTCATTCAGTACTATTGCTTTAATATTGATGTGTTATTCGGATTATTATACCTACAATTTCAGCAATGAACAAAAATAAGTATGGCGAAATACGATCACTGTGTCTACATCCTCTAGAGTTACGGTAAAAAGTCTGAAAGATGGCCATATTGAATAACACATGATATGGCATTTTTAGTTATAATTCATTTTCATTTTATCACGATTGGTCCGAATTCAAATTATCTTAACGTTCAAACCGATGAATTGTTTGGATACTGCATCAAATCTATCAAAAGCAAGAGACTATTTCTATTTTGTTTCTTTGTCTCAAACATGACATATACACATAAAAAAAAAAAAGTTAAGCACCCCCCAGAAATGTTCTGTATCGTAAATATGAATCACGAACATGATAAAATGGACAGAGTGAAGTTGGAGAAAGCATTATGTTTGTAAAGAGCAACCATCTGAGAACAAAAAAAACCAAAACAATTTTGAGCCAGAATGAAATTTTAATTGAGATATGGTTGCCCAAACACCGGTGGAGTCTAGCCTTATCGTCCATGAACAGGGGTCTTGATGCCAGAGGGTGGTGGCAAAATGGGGAACAACAACTGGTTCCAGAACTTCCCGGATGTAACGTTCACCATTGAGATTTCCCCGTATAGTCACAAGGTGTAGCACAAGGATATGCACCCCCATATCATCACGGCGCCACCTCCAAACGGAACAGTTGGTTTAATGTTCTTGGGGTGTATGCTGTACCTTGGTGCCTCCACACTCTCGTTCGGCCATCGTTCACATGCAGCTAAAACCTGCTTTCATCTGACCAGTGGATACGTCTCCATGTTCTGAGGTTCCACCCTTGGTGTGCCAAACACCATTGTAATCGCAGTCTCCAATGACCTTGTACCGGTTAGGGGCGTTTGGCGACTCTTCGGGCCCTCATTCCATCAGCTCTAAACGATTCCGCAATGTTTGGCAAGACAGACGTCGATGGTGTAACTAATTACGCCTCATGTAGGTGCATGTCGCAAATGGATTTCCTCGCACTAATCGCAGTAATATCCTGTTTTCACGTCCTGACGTCACATGAGGGCGTCCTGTACGTGGCAGGTCCTTCACTGAATTGGTTTTGGACGTGTTTTCGCACTAGTCGTCTGATTACTGAGTAATGGTAATCCAGTTGACGTCCGATCGCCTTGAAAGACATCCCAGCGGCATGCATACCAATGATTCTCCATCTTAGTGCATCACATACTCTCCTCCATACACGCAATGCAATTGGGCACCTGTTTTTTTAGCAGTTTTACGGGTTTTGGTATACGTATAATTACAACTCTGTTCAATATTTGAGTCAATATTATTTTTAAAGATTGTTCGATATATCTGAAAATCCATTTTCTCAAATCTCTATAGTAGGCATTAAAGCACTCGAAAGAAAATCCGTCAATACCTGAACTTTTGTTATTATCTCCTGCCTCGAATTGGGGGCGGAAGATATATAGGAACGGAGTTCGTCCGTCTTTCCGTCCGTCCGCTACTCAATGTGGACAAATCTTCTCAAAAACTATTAAAGTCAGAGAAATGAAATTTTACACACTGATGTTACTGGTCACGATCTCAAATGAGTTCGCAGATTGGTGTCGTTCATTCATTTTTTACAGAATAATGCTCTTGCTCCGTGCTTTTCAACTTATAGCATACTGCGTGAAAAGGGGGCAAGCTATCTCAGAAACTACTGAAGTTACATGAATGAAAGTTTGCATGCTTATCTAAGAGGTACTTGTCTAGACTGAGTTCGAAAATTGTTCCAGTCAATTATTGTTTTTGGCCCTTGTTCAGACATTCAGACATACATGTACATTACGGACGGACATTCAGACATACATACATGTAGACATGCAATTGGGTGCCTTTTTTTTAGCAGTCTTGCGGATTTTGGTATACGTATAATTACACCTCTGTTCAATATTTGAGTCAAGATTGTTTTCACGAGATTGTTTGATATATCTGAAAATTCCATTTTCTCAAGTCTCAAGTCCAGCCTTGTCTCAACTAAACACAAGACTGCTGATAGATGACTGCTGAGTTAATAATTTGCGGATGTGCCCTATG